CCCTGCATGCCTGATATAGTGCAGAGGGGCATGGCCTGTGGGGCTCCCCACAGACCCATCGGGAGCCTCATGTACTGGATGACATGGCACCAAGGGCCAGATCTGGTCCATGGGTCATGGGTTGAGCACCCCTGATTTAAAGCAGTAATAGAAACACTGTAGAGACCTGCTAAAATCAAGAGCCAGGAAGACTGTAATGCTTAATTTAAGGAAACTTGTGCATGTTGATTGTAATGTAACTTGCATTTTACAAAACCAGACCTGGGAAATGGAGATTTTATTCTGGAGCTCCAGTCGTGTGGTGAACAATTAACACAGAAGTATGGGTGGAAGAAAATGAGGTGAGGTAGTATACATGACGACACACCAGAGGGTTTGCCTATAGTTGTGTTGTCTGGGAGAACTGATTGAATCTATGAAGTGGTGGTGGTAGGAGTCAGCAATACTGTCAGATAAGAAGCTAAGACTATAGTAGAGTAGAGAGGAGCTCACAGGTAGGAGATAATGCTGTGCTGCTTTTAATATATCCCCCATTTTTTTGTTTTGTCAGGGAGGAGGAGACAGCCCTCCTATTTTCTTTTCATAGTTCCACCAACCTGCTCTCCTCCTGTATGTGGGCAGATCTAGAATTCTGAGAAATAGGAGGGGTGGGAATGCATGTGGTGAAGTGCCTCATCACATATAACACAACACATCTGTGGACGAAGGGAGACCAGTGAATGTGGTATACCTTGATTTTAGCAAGTCTTTTGATACGGTCTCCCACAACATTCTTGCAGGGAAGCTAAGGAAGTACAGGCTGGATGAATGGACTGTAAGGTGGATAGAAAACTGTCTGAAGCATCAGGCTCAGAGAGTAGTAATCAATGGCTCAATGTCTAGTTGGCAGGCAGTATCAAATGGAGTGCCCCAGGAGTCAGTCCTTGGGCTGGTATTGTTCAGTGTCTTCATCAACAACCTAGAAGATGGCATAGAGCACACCCTCAGCAAGTTTGCAGGTGACACCATGCTGTGGGGAGTAGTAGATATGCTGCAGGGCAGGGCTAGGGTTCAGAGTGACCCAGACAAATTGAATGATTGGACCAAAAGGAATCTCATGAGGTTTAAAAAGGAAAAGTGCAAAGCCCTGCACTTAGGATGGAATAATCCCATGCACCAGTACAGGAAGGGGGTTGACTGGCTGGGCAGCAGCTGTGCAGAAAAGGACCTGGGGATTAGAGTGAACAATAAGCTGAATATGAGTCAACAGTATGCCCTTGTTACCATGAAGGCTAATGGCATACTGGGCTGCATTGGTAGGTGTGTTGCCAGCAGGTCAAGGTAACTGATTATTCCCCTCTATTCAGCACTGGTGAGGGCACATCTGGAATATTGTGTTTTGGGCCCTTATTACAGAAAGAATGTGGACAAATTGGAGACAGTAGAGTGGAGGGCAACAAAAATGGTGAGGGGCCTGTGGCACATGACTTATGAGGAAAGGCTGGGGGACTGAGCTCATTTAGTTGAGAAGACTGAGAGGGGATTTAAGAGCAGCCTTAACTACCTGAAGTAGGGTTCAAATGAGGATGGAGCTAGACTGTTCTCAGTGCTGGCAGATGACAGAACCAGGAACAGTGGTCTTCAGCTGCAGCAAGGGAAGTTTAGGTTAGAAATTAGGAAGAATTTTCTCACTAGAAGGGTAGTAAAACACTGGAACAGGTTACCCAGGGAGCTGGTAGACTCTCCATTGTTGTAGCTTTTTTAAGACCTGGCTAGACAAAGCTTTGGCTGGGATGATCTTGTTCGGGATGGTCCTGCTTTGAGCAGGGAGAGGAACTAGATTACCTCCTTAGGTCACTTCCAATCCTAATTTTCTATGATTCTAACGCGTATAATTTTCTCCTATGGATGGCCACCAAAATTTGTCGCCATTCTCTGCCTGCTCCATGGTGGTATGTGAGTGGTGATTCTCAGTAATGGATCGATCACAGAACCCTTTGAGGTTAAAATGGGAGTTAAGCAAGGCTGTGTCATCACTCCAACAGTCTTCTGAATATTCCTTGCTGTGATGTTACGTCTGACCACCAACAAATTTCCAGTCAGAGTGGAGCTAAACTACTGAATGGATGGTAAGCTGTTTAACCTCAGCTGACTACAAGCCAAAACCAAGACCACCCTGACCACAAACACTGAGCTCCAGTATGCTTATGATTTGTAGTGTGCGCTCATTTGGAAACAGACCTTTAGGCAATAGTCAGTGTCTTTACCAAGGTATACAAGAAAATGGGACTGACACTTGATCCATGATGAGACTCTGGAGAACACTGAGTATTTCCTGTACTTCAGAAGTCATTTCACATAGAAGGTTGACTGACAAAGAAATCCAACGTTGCCACAAATGTGCAAGTACAGCCTTTGGATGCCTGAATAAATAGGTGTTTGATCAGATCCGAAACCAAGCTCATGAGCAGTTGTGATCCCCACCTTGCTGTATGGAGCTGAGACATGGACAATGTACAGGAGACATTTAAAGTTGTTGGACACGTACTGTCAATGCTGCCTGTGCAAGATCCTCCAAATACAGTGGGAAGAGAGTTAGCATCCTCCTGCAAGCAAACATGAGTACCGAGACAACGATCATCTGGCATCAACAACATTGGGCTGGCCATGTCATCCAGATGTCTGACTCCAAACTCCCAAATCAAGTTTTTTTCTCCCGGCTCAGCCATGGTGTATACTCAAGGTGGGGGGTGGGGGGAAGGGGGGTGTAGAGAAAGTGCTTTAGGGATGTCCTCAAGGCCAACTTAAAAAATTCAATGTTGATGTCAACTCACAGGAGACTATCACCTAGGACCACCCCAAATGGAGAAAGTGTGCTGCAGGGATCTCAGTACTTTGAAACCTCACAACAAAAGGAGATGGAAACGCAGGAGTGGCAGAAACAGCATGTTGGGGACCAACTAAACACATATCTGAGCTGCAGTAGAATCTTTCAATCCTGGATAGGCCTCATCAGTTATCTTCAGACATATAGGTAAGATAATTATGGAAGACAGTCATCCTTGACTGTGAGGGATTGCTGAAGAATAAGGTATTTGTCTTCAGTTTTAAAAGATACTAGTACCTACCTTTCCTAATATGCTAGGGACCTAGGGCTATATTATTCAGTTTGAGATTGTTTTTAACCAATTCCAGTAAGTGTTTTTTGCTTCAATCTGCAGGACTGTGAAACAGGAGCTTCCCGTGCAGCCTACAGACAGCAGAATTGAAGAAGAAAAGGCAACCTGATTGGTGGAAGACCCAGACCATTAGAAAGGAGAGAAGCTCATTAACACCTGTGGAATGGAGAGTTTAGAAGGGATGGGGATGATTCTAATGAGCTACAAATTCAATCCACTCCCTCAGCACTGCCTGACCCGGGCAGGGACGACACACCACCGCACGAATTGGAGCAACTGCCCTGGGCTCTGTGCTTTAGGGGGCCCTGTGGAGCTGGGCCAGCTTTGCCTCTGATGGCTCACCACAACCCCCCTCCCCCACGGCTGATTTCCCCTGGGCCCCACACCCTGCTAGGAAATGCTGCTGCTGCTGCCAGGTGTGATTTTAAATTTTGGGTGGAGCAGGAATCAAAGGGGGCTGCAAGTGCACCAGTGCACCCCTGCCCCTGTGCCATCTGACAACACCGTCCCGCCTTCTTGCTTGGAAATCAGGATGGGTCAGTGCTGGGCAGGGAAGACTGCTCTCTGCAGCTCTTCTTGCTTCTGGCAGGTGGAGGAAAAACACGGGCAAATCTAATGTCTTCACTGTTTGCTATAGGGCTGAAGAGCTGCCAGGGGGACCCCTCTTTTGCTGAGCCTAGGTCGGGCAGTAGTGAACTCCGTTTGAACTGGAAGGAAAAACACAACAACCCAAGTTCGAGGCCGGCGGGGGCCTAAAGGTACGCAACGCTCGTCAACCACAGCAGAGGCCTGAGTTCCGTGCTTTCCAGCTCATGAAGGCTTGCAACTTTCCCAGCTGTCTCACGCCTCAAGTCCCAACCGGACTCTGACAAGACCTCAGCGAGGCCGCGCGGCTCCGACACCGCATTGGGCGGGCTCCGACAGGGGAGCGCGGGGCCGGAGGAAGCTACACTGAGAACAGACGCCAGGACTAGCCCGCAGCCGGGAAGGTCACGCGGGTCTGCGAGCGCTGCGCCCAGCCGTAGTAAGAGTTCCGCAGGCAGCACTGCCCCCCGCCCCGCGGGGCATGGGACAGCGCCTGTTGGCTACGAGCGCGGGATCGCAGCTTGCGATTGGTGGAGCGGGCTGTCCGTTAGCCAAAGGGCAGCCTGCCCCCGCAGGCGCTGGCGGGACGCCCAGTACTCCGTGAGGGGAAGGTCCCTGCCTGGGGTCGGCGGCGCCCCCGGTACCTCCCGGCGGTGGAGCTCTGGCTGGCTCCCGGGCGCGGGAGGTGCCG